CTCCACTCTTCTCAGTCTCCTTGCCACGGGGCTCAGCGGATCGGGATATATAACCTTCTCGACCGGTACCCCACTCTTCTCAGTCTCCTTGCCAAGGTGCTCGGACCGGGGGAGGAAGGGCGTTCCACTCTTCTCAGTCTCCTTGCCATGGGGCTCGGACCGGGGGAGGAAGGGCGTTCCACTCTTCTCAGTCTCCTTGCCAAGGTGCTCGGACCGGGGGAGGAAGGGCGTTCCACTCTTCTCAGTCTCCTTGCCAAGGTGCTCGGACCGGGGGAGGAAGGGCGCTCCACTCTTCTCAGTCTCCTTGCCACGGGGCTCGGCGGAGCGGCCGATGATGATGTCGTTGCAGCTCACGCACAATGCAAGGTTGAGGCAAGCGAACACAGCGGATTTGAGCGCCATGGCAACGTCGACACCCCTGAGCTGAAAAGGCGTCCTGAGTGGCTTGAGAAAAAACTGGCACAAAGAACTACGGGATGATCTCACATAAAGATGCTGAAGAGTGACACAGAAAGCTACCGAAGGTCAAATCGACCATGAAAATCAACGGACTGACCAAGAAGGGGCCCAGATGTGACCAGGCTGTTACCAAAGGCTTGAGTTCTTCATCCAAGTTCTCAGGGTCTTGTGTTCCAACCTTACAGACGCTTCCACAGGCCAAGAGCAGGGGGCCCCAGATCCAAGAAGGTACATCGCTAGCCCCAGATCCAAGAAGGGGCCCAGATGGTAAGGTCTTATGCCACCACAAGAAAGTTCCTGGGAAGGTTGTAGGAGAATGAAAAATCCCAGGAGCAACAATTTCTGAGAGACGAGGGTAGTGACAGTGAGGAAGTCCTTACACCGCTCATCTGGACGGAACTTTGGTGACTCAAGGGATTACAACTTAGGAGCTTAGAGACCAGCCCAACCGCTGCATCCAAGGGCCCCATCATGACTCCTAAGTTGTAAGAAAATGAAGGTAGATGGGGCCCCCCTGCTCTTGGCCTGGCGGTGTAATCCCAAGAGCAGGAAAGAAGGAAAGGGGAATGTTGGACCTTCCTTGACTGGCGGTTGAACTCAGAGAATGATTCGCTAGTACACGGTCAACCGCCAGGCCAAGAGCAGGGGGCCCCAGATCCAAGAAGGGGCCCAGATGGTAAGGTCTTTAGGGAATTCCTCTCCCAACCTTACAGACGCTTCCACAGGCCAAGAGCAGGGGGCCCCAGATCCAAGAAGGGGCCCAAGGAATCCCAGGCGAGCCACTGTGCCCTTATGGTCTGGTCTTGGGCCCTACACGCCTTCATCATTTGTATCTTCTGGATGGTTCGTGAGTCGTCATAGTTCATCCCTCTCAGCCCCAGATCCAAGAAGGGGCCCATCTTGGCTAGTGGATCGGCGGCCTGGTCTCTTCTCCAATCCTCTCCACCCGCCCCAGATCCAAGAAGGGGCCCATCTTGGCTAGTGGATCGGCGGCCTGGTCTCTTCTCCAATCTTCTCCACCCGCCCCAGATCTTGGACCGCTCCTTCAGGATTCTTCCCAGGGGATTTTTGGCTTTGTCCTTCTAGATCAGCCAAAAATCCCCTGGGAAGAATCCTGAAGGAGCGGTCCAAGATCTGGGGCTAGCGATGTACCTTCTTGGATCTGGGGCTGAGAGGGATGAACTATGACGACTCACGAACCATCCATAAGTAGACCATCGGCCAGGCTTTCATCTTCTCCAACTTAGGGGCTTGTGGACTGGTCTTTGTCTGGGGATTCACCACCTGCCCTTTTTGGAAGCAAGGACAGGCGGTTAGAATCCAGATGAAGCGTGATGACTCCCAGATTAACTCCTAGAGACAGATGGGCCCCTTCACCGCTGTCATTCACCTTCCAGTTCTTTCCAGTAGCAACCTAAAGACCAATCAAGGGTTAACCGATGGGGCACAGTGGCTCGCCTGGGAATCCTTGGGCCCCTTCACCGCTGTCATTCACCTTCCAGTTCTTTCCAGCGGTTACTCACTCATCTCTTACCCTTAGGATTTTTGGCTGATCTAGAAGGACAAAGCCAAAAAATCCAGGAGACAAAGACCCACCATAAGGAAACAGAGGTTGGGCCCTACACGCCTTCATTTCTTACAAGCACTGGAGGGCCATCTTGGCTAGTGGATCGGCGGCCTGGTCTCTTCTCCAATCCTCTCCACCCGCCCCAGATCCAAGAAGGGGCCCAGTCAGACACGGCGGCTGTAAGCGAGGGAAAGGTCACCTTGGAAAAAGAGAGAACGACAATGAAATTCTATTAATATTTTTATGGTTAGAATTTCATAAAGTGAACAGGAAGGAGAATGAAAATCCACTTCTTGAAAAATCTCTTCTTAATTGTGGATTTTCCTCTTATCTTTTCCATGAATTTATTCACCTAAGAGATTTCTATTATAATAAATTCATGGATATATTTCTTATTTCTATAATCATGAGTGGATTTTTAATTACTAATAAATCCACGGTCATCGGTTAGTTGCTATATTCTTTATGTTTATGGCATTTTATTATATGAATTACTTTATGAATAAAATGCCATATGAATAATAAAATATATATCTCTTATATTATTACTTACTGCCTGGCTTTTATTTATTATTATTATGCTATTTCTATTATTAAAAGCCAGGCATTATATTATAGAATTATATTATATTTACCGGCTTTTGGATAAATGAAATATTTAAATAGCAAAAGCCGGATAATAATTATATATTATTTATTGTTAATGGCCGATAAATTCTTTAATAAAAGAGATAGACTATATAATTTATCGGCCAGAGATTACATTATATAATATTGCCATTTGCTCATAAAGAAATTAATATTGCAAATGGCATATAAGAGATATAAAAGATAATATTTATTTATATATATTGGCCAAGAATATTAGTATTAGTGAATAAAATAATAGATTATAATATTCTTGGCCTAACCATCATTCATATTATTTTTTTAGTAATCTTTTATATGAAAATATGAATGATGGTTAATATCTTCTTATACTTATATGACAATGATGGGTGCTTTAATTTAATTATGCACCCAAGCTATCGGCTAGCTCCTAGATTATATATTTTATATTATTACCATTGGCTTTTATTATATTAAAAGAACTTGGAAAATAAAAGCCAATGTCATTGTATTATAAGTCATGAAAGAAAGGGTCATTTTACAATAGAAATAAAAGTAAAATGACTGTAAGTGAAGTAGCCAATATTTTTCAATATAAGTAAATGGTGGAGTGGAAAAATATTGGCGATACGGTGGTGCCCCTGGGAATCCATCCCCTTTATATAAGTGATCGATAGGCGGGATGGATTCCTGGTCACATCTGGGCCCCTTCTTGGATCTGGGGCGGGTGGAGAAAGCCCTTGAAAGGAGACAGATGGGCCCGACCACGACTCACGAACCATCCATAAGTAGACCATCGGCCAGGCTTTCATCTTCTCCAACTTAGGGGCTTGTGGACTGGTCTTTGTCTGGGGGTTAGAATCCAGACCAGCCCGCAGATCCAAGAAGGGGCCCAGATGTGACCAGGCTGTTACCAAAGGCTTGAGTTCTTCATCCAAGTTCTCAGGGTCTTGTGTTCCAACCTTACAGACGCTTCCACAGGCCAAGAGCAGGGGGAAAGGTCATGAGGGCACAGCTTTTGGCGAGTTGGGCCAATGTTCGCTAGGGCTGGCATGCAACAACACAAGGAACCCAGGAGCCCTCGCACCCTAGGGCTGACTCTTGATCTCCCTCAAATATGTGCAAAACAACTTGTCCCAAACGTAAAACAAGACCTGGGCACGCAGAGGGCCCATCCGATCGCCCATCCGCCGATCTACCGTCTTCTGCCAGTCTGCATCTTCTTGAGGTCCCCAAGGGCAGTGGAGCCCATTGAGCCACTCTGGCTGAGCCGTCAACGACACGTAAAAAATGGAAGAGCCATAGCCATCAGACCTTCTAAGAACACCACCTGCCGGCGCCCACCCTTTGAACTCCGCTCGACAGGTCCACCGAAGCCTGGGATCGAGGAGGGTGGGCCGTTCGCCGTCGAAAGAGAACGAAACTTCGAAAGAGACCTGAACCATCCTGAACCCATCTGAACCCACCCCATGGTGGGAGCGAATGGGCGCTCGCTGAACGTCTGAAAAAAGACAAACGCTCAGTCTGCCAGTTCGTCGCTGCTCGACCAAAAAGAAGAAAACAGGACTTCTGGGAGGCACGGAATCCGAGACATCCATATGGTCCTTCACGATGAATTGAACTCTACTCCAACCATTGAATGCACTGTGCCTTTTTTCCTTCAACCATCCATCTTTGATGTGGCCGTCCTCAGATCCTTCGCAGGAAGAACCCCCAGAAAACCCCCGGAACGGTCAAAGGCTTCGGTTGGACCCGGGGCTCCATGCTCCAGATGGTCGTATTTGGCTTTAAAATGGGAAAAAGGTGCAGATTGCTGGCTGGTCCATGCATCAAGTCATCCCTGGGAAGGTGAAACTTAAGAGAAACTCTCAAGAACCAAGGCAGGGTCAGCATCAACAAGAACCAATGAAGAGTGTGGCTTGACCAGTTTGTGTTGGTTTTCTCACTGATCAATTTCTGACTGAACCTAAAATAGCAAAAAAATAACATGTTTACTATAGATTGTATATTCACATCATCTGTTCAAAAGAACTTTGCTCAGGCCCCCCATGAACAGCTGGTGCTAAAAGAAAAATCTATATAAATATGACTTAACATTGTTACATGATTCTACCTGTCGGACCTATCATGACCTATCCTACAAGTTGCGCATAGTCTGTCACATCCTGGGCTCCACCCTCGGCCTCTGAAAGACCTCCGATACCTGAGGCCCCGATCCATGACAGCTGCCATCCTCGGCGCGGCCTGCCGCGCAGACGGTGGGACAAATGGAAGCACCTTCTCTGTTGTATTCCATGCTGGTGCTGAAGTCGAGTTCGTGACTTGCTCTGAAAACCTCCGGGTATGCAAGGCCGCAACGCCCCAAACTAAGCAGCCATCACCAAAGAGGCGTCGCGCTGAAGGGCCCTTCAGGTTTGATGATGCAAAACAAGAACTTGTCAGTCGTTAACGCCATACGTACGGCAATAGACAACAAAACCATCTCGCCCCCCCTCCCTTCATCATACTCCACTTAGTACTGTACCCCTAATCCTTCCTTCAATTCCCTCCATGGCATCTCCATGGCACCCTGGCAGCCCGGCCGTGAACAGCATCGCCTCCGGCACCGAAGGCGCCCTGGGACCACCACCACCCTTTTTGGAAGTACAGGGACATCTTGGGGGTCTGCGCCATCTACTCACCACACCTCACTCACCACTGCCGTTCGGACGTTCGGGGCCTCGAAGCTGCGGTTCCGGTGCACTCTCTGGACGAGATCGGTCACCTGGATGTCCGGCGGTGCCGGGGCGGGCGGTGCTGGGGGGCGCCATCCTTTTCGTTCGCGTCTTGGGGCCCCGGAGGCTCCCCCGTCTGCCCCGGAGGCTCTCAGGGCGGCTCGTTTGGGACCGAAGCAAGTGGCACTGAAGCTGTGGTGTCCCCCTCACTCAAGCGTGGTCAAAAGCATCCGAAGGTGGTTCTTCTCGTAAACCTGGCTTTGTTCAGGCAGTTGATCACGCAAGCCGACCAAATGAGTTCAGCGAACACCTTAAGCCAGCCGACTCAAACTCTTATCTCTTGGACCACGGAAAACAGGTTGAACGAATAAATTAAATTAATGATAGCCGGAGAATATATTAATATAAATATTGGCTTGTGGACCGACTACAGGAAATTTACTTGCGACCAAACTGACAATACCAAAGACACATCCAAAGACACAACATCCCTTTTTCCATATTTTTCCCTTTCTTTCCTCTCTGACAGGGACGTTTGTCCAGTGTATCCTCCCAAGAAAACCCACCCTTCCTCCGAGCTCCGAGCTGAACCTTCACCCCAGCGGCGCGTCCACCCGGACCGACGGGGGAGCCGAAGATCGGACGCCCTCCTTCCGGCTGTGAGACCCGCATGGGGGTCCCCCTTCGTCCCCGCTAAAGAGCTGTTCCAACTTCCGAGCTTAAAACCTATCTGGACCAGTCCAAGTTGCTGAACACCACCAAAAAGGAGTTAGCTTAACGGTGCCAGCTGCCAGCTCATTCAAACATGTGCTTTCGGCAATTCAAGTGGATCCCATGGGTGGGAGCGAATGGGGATCCCATGCTGAGCCTTTACAAAGAAAACCCGCTCCGTCTGCACGTTCGTGGAACTTCGGGGATCCCATATGGGATCCCATCAAAATCCCATGAGATTCCAGGCATCCATGGTGCAACGGAATTCAACTACTGTACTCTTCAAGGGTCCATCACATACGTTCATTCATCTACGCATCTTTCTGAAAAACCAAGGGAAAACCAAGGGTGGAAAAGCCAAGATTGGACACGCGTCACCGATGCGTCCTTTCACACCTCAGGCACCCTCACATATGCTGCCGAAAGACGAGGAAACACGCTGGACTGAAGCCGTGACCAAGACCAGTTCAACGAGCAAAAATAGCCCTCCACCGACGGGAAACTCAAAGATCACACCGCTCTAAAGTCTTGACTGGCCAATCATCCGGCTGGCAGATTGAGCTGGTCTGTGACGGATCCCCAGCCAACCATTCGCATATCCTCAAGCACCTGCCAGTGAATTGGCAGACATCACAAAGCGAAGGGGATGGAATCTGCATGTCGCTTGGCTTCCCCTGACTTCGGACTCGACGCATAACGAAGCTTCTCCGGTGAACAATTCTATGCCACTTCAGAAGGACACATGACTACGCATGGACACTTTGTCAGAAAGAAAAATGGTGCTTCAACAACATCCGATTGTTGATTCAATTCCTCTGGCAGCTTTGCTCGCACTGGAAAGTTAGAGAGCTTCTCCGCGGGCCAGTAGCTCCTTCTAATTGTGAATTGCCTACGTATGCGAAACGGCGACTGCGTTTCAGCAATCTACAAAGGACCATGCACATTTGGATCAGCCAATCTCTATGCTATTGCAGCAACCATCGACTCGATCCATTCAAACAGCTCTCTGGATGCCACGCAAACTAAGCAAGCAATACGTTAAGCATGCTGCAGCCTCCTGGCATTGCCCCCCAAGCCCGGATGGGATTGATGCGATGAGAGTGTCTGTCTGCCCCTTTCGTCTTCTTTGGTTCCAGGGAAGTGGTCCCAGGTGGGGTGCCCACTCCGCCGGGTGATGTCTGCCCGGCGCTCAGCCAGAAGAGGATGCAAGAATGGCATCGGCCGGCTTAAAGTGGTTTGGGTGAAAGCAGTGAAAGCATCCCTTTGGTACCCAGGAAGGAGACATCGTCCTATAGCTCTGTTGGCACTGCAAACTGCCCAGTTCGACCCCCGCGCCAGCAGAGGCCTCCCATCACTGGATCTTGCTCGTAGAACCTCTTGCAAGGAGAAAGAAATGGAAAAAGAAAACACAAGAGAATTGTCTAAGCCACTGCAGCTGTCCAACGATGTCTAAGAACAATTGAATTCATTTGCCCATCTTGTCCAAACAAGTGCCCTTCACGTACGGGTCAAAGCCAACAAACGAGGCAGCTTCTCATCTTGCTGCCCATTCTGCTTACACGTGTCATTTCAGCTAAGCTACCCCAATCCTTTGAAACCATCTCCGAGATCCTCACTAAGCACATCCCCCACATCCTCCAGCTCGCCACACGGAATCCACCTCGTGTGCCCTCACAAATACATTCTTCGATGATGCACACTTGGCACCTCAAACAAAAGTCAGGTGGAAAAACACCAATGATCCAGTTCTTCCATTGAAAAGCACTTCGTACTTCGTTCCCCCCATCATCCTTGATGTGGCGGCCGTCCTCGGGGCCATCGGAACGGTTCGAACCCCCCGGGGCCATCGCCGCCATCGGAACCCCGGAGGAACCTGCACCCGAGGCAGCAGGCGCTGCGCTGCGCAGTGGGGGCTCGTGAAGAGGCTGCCTGCGCACCTGCCCGGTGACTTGACTTGACATCAAAACGGAGGTGATGGCAGCTATGCCCTTGTGCTTCACTGGACTTTCTGGGCACAAGCTTTTGATTCACTTCGGTCGGCTGGCAGGTAAAAGAACACTCTCTCTTAGAGAGGCAAAGAAGTCCCACGATGAATGGAATGTCCTAATTTTGGATGCCCAGCCCCACTAACAGTGGATCACAACGACGATCATCATGATGTTGATCTATGTTGTTGTTGATGATGATGATGATGATGTTGATGGCTAGCAAAGACCTACAACCCCAAGTGAGAAAGCGATGAAAACTTCTCACTATTGGTCGGGCTGGGACACATCCAATTTGCACAACGGCACAGACTGCCACTTGCACGTCAAAAATACACAACAAAGGTTGCCTAAGAGAGCTTGCTGGATGTCCTAGTTCGGTGTGCCTCACTCTGTTTCCTTCCGACCTGCCCGTAGTCGTAGGCGGCTGACATCATCTTGGTTCAATGTGATTGCAAAAATGGCACCACGAAACCATCCGAACTCCCTCTGAAGGTCGTCACAAAGACGAGTCCGCCACCAGCCCAAAAGCAGTTCCTCCAAGGGGGTGCGCGAACGACGCCAAAGGGGTGTGAATGCTGGTCCTCAATTCCAAGGCCCGCATCGGGTGTCCGTGAACTGGGGTTCAAATCTTTCTGAGAAGTGAAAAAAGAAAATTAGCAGATGAGAGTCATTCTCTGAGCGCGCGTTTCACTGTCAACTAGCATTCTCTTCTAGGTAACACTCGCGCACCAAGAGGGTGTTGCTAAAGCATGATGCCATGCAGGTGGAGCAGGCACAAGGTCAGGGGAAGACATTTTTTGAGGTGAGCACGTAAACCCATCATGTTGTCACTGGCCCTGACTTTGGGCATTGGTGAATACTTTGCGCAATCACCCTTGCACTCAAGGCCTGAATCAACCGGCGCGTATTGAATTCCGTGCCTACACGTGTTGGGAAACGCCTGGTCTTTCACGAACGCCTGGTCTTTCACGAACGCCATTCAGGCTGGGTTGAGGTGGAACATGGAAGTCTCTATTCCAGACGTCAACTTTTACCTACTGTTCTATTACATCACAGCATAACGGCATTTCACTGCAGTCTTCGATGCTAAAGACTGTTAGATTATCGGAACAACAGATTCCATTGCAATGTCATATAAGCAGAAAGGAAGAGTTACCTACAAGAGTGTCCCGACATTTTTTGTTTCGATTGATCTTTTTCGACTGAGTGGTTCGACAAGCATGTGGGTTGAATTTATATAATAATATAATATTTATCTGCGCGTTCTGTGAGAGGCCCTTTCCCAGTATGCGGAGACCAGACTCGGCGTGGTGTGGGAGCGTATGCCTTCCACCAAACACATTCGAGGAAGCGCGCGGAAGCCCGAGAGAGACAGATGCAGTCGTGCGCGGTCTGCGCTCGCACCTGTTGGTTGGAAGACATGAGTCGCTTGCAGTTGTTTGTGGAAGCTCGCGCAGGCGGGGCACAAGACGTCATGGACGAGGCCGGAATAGACAGCGCTGATGAGAATCCAGAGTGCGACAACGATCTCTGTGGTGGAGTCCCAAGATCGCGAGGAATGGCCAAAGGTTGGAAA